AAAGCAGAGTCGAAACCCGAGAATGTGTGTTTCTAAAAAGCTCTCCGGTGCTGCTGGCTGGTCCCCACGCCACATCACACTGCCTCGTGTTCACTTCTGAGACCCTCAGCACCGCGTGCTGCTTTTATTGTATTGATTAATAATTGAGGAATGTCGAATGTCTTCACCCTACTCTAATACTTTCCACATGGGATATTCAGAATGTAAATGACATCCAGCTAACTCTGTTCATAACTAAAATACATTCCTAGAGGCATTCTCATAGCTACATTCAGTATTCTAAACTTTCACAAATGTAACATGGGAATGAAGCTTGCAGGGTGATTCCTATAATTATCTAACTTAGCTTTATAGAAACGTGAGGGATAAAGTAGATTGTTGTGAAATAAATCCCATTATCTCTGTAGAAACATAGGCTTTAGGATTCCTTTCTTAAACATGGACTCAAAAAAAAAGTGCAATCAAAGCATGTTATGAAAACAACCCCAAAAGAATCCTAAGTCTAAAAAGTAACACACGTGTGATCTGTGTCCTACAATATGGGTGTTCCCTGCAGCTCCGTACTACACAGATGTTTTGCTAATAAGCCTAAACACACAATGACATGCAGAGAACATGTTATAATTCCACACCATCATGAATTTGACCTTGCATGCTTGTCAGCTAAACCCTCAGCAGTGACGATGTTTGCTGCTTGTATTTTCGCAGCTTTGGGAGTGGGAGTGAGATGATCAGGGTAACCAAATGCCAGCTATCTAGGAAGCCTTGCACTGAGGTCTCGTCTATCTCACGGTTCATTTATTTAAACAAGGGATTTCACAAATCATCTCATTGCTTGTAAAATGGGACTCAAAATTATTTCAAAAATCACCAGTTTCTCATCTTAATATTTGAATACTTCTCTGACGTCTGGGGAATGGCTGTCTCGTGAATGTCCTCTTCAGTCTTTTCCCTCTTTCCTCACCTCCCGCACCCCAGGGCGCTTCGTGGAGTCTTAAAGCAGCAGCCGCTGCATTTCCCTGGCTTTAGTTGAGTGTGTCGGATCAAGAGCTTTGTTGATGGGCAATTACAGGATGTGACCCCCAGGCTTCTAAAGGCACCTGGTGTTTTTAGCCCTTTTTCTTCCTTTGACCATGACAGTTTAGGAGTGGATGCATCTAGATGTGGGAAGCCACACAGAGGTCTCTGAACATGTGTGGTAGCAAATCGGTAGCAATGTTTCTGCAGCTGCTCACCACTCACCCAGGGAACCCAGGATCTGGGGGAGGAAAGAGGAAGTCTTCAGCACACCCCCAACCCTCACCTCAGCCCTGCCCAGCCCTGCCCAGCCCTGCAGCTCACGTGGGCTTCATTCTCACACCAGCGCAGAAAGGCAGGTTTTATTACCTCGACTCTATGGGAAACTGAGGCTCAGAAAAGTGGAGTCTTGTGCAGAGTCACCCAGATGGAAACTGTATTGAGACACAGGTCTTCCCTGTCTGACTTGCGTTATGAAAAGTCAGAACTCCCTAGCGAATGAAATCAGCAAAATACCCAGGAGCAAGGCATTTGATCCCCAGCATTTCAGCTGGGAGCTATTTCCCTGCACTGATAGGCTAGCTACGTTTATCTGTGCTGAGTTCTCCGATGGCGCCATCAAGGTGACATGTCATCTTAAACTGCTTTAGGTGCATTTTATTTAAAAAATTGTTGCTAACAGTGAACAACAGTGGACTGCTTCCCAGTAAATCTGGATGGCTAGCTGTGCATATCCCCTTAGTATTACCTCGAGGTAATACTAAGTGTTGATAATCACATAAACATTATCAAAATGTCCAGTAATCCCAGTGGCTGGCATCAGATCTAGAAGCGAAGTCCAGCCTAGAAATCTCGGCGGCCATGATGGAATCTGAAATTCTGTCCCTGCCATATAGCTCTTGCTCAGTTCTTCCTCCCTCTCATCCTTTTATATTATCTTACAAAAGGCTTCGTTATTACCCAAGAGATGCTTCGGCGTCAGCTGGCTTTCCTTGCAGCATTTCGCATGTTTACCCAATTTTTCTCTGGCTCTCTCAATTTTGATCAATCGCAAAAACGAAGTAAAAAAGATTTCCTCCAAGCATGCAGCTGCTTTTTTGTGTGCAGATGGATCTTTTCAGCACGTTACAGAAACCAGCTGCCGGGCTGAGCTCTTAGCCCTGTGACAGTGAGATCTTCATCCTTCTCTAGCTCTTCTCTAAAAGGCAGACTGGGACAGAGTGTCAGAAGCTCATGAGGAGACTGCCAGTCACCCATGATTATCAGCCACATGCTCTGTGGTTCCCTCCGTAGTGCGGTGAGACCCCTCTCACTTAATGCTCAGAAGCCGTTTCCACTGAGGGTTCTGATGGAGGCTCCCACACATCAACTTCTCGTTTTGTTCCTCCTGCCTTTCTTTTCCTGCTAGTGTATGAATTTTGCATTTAAGGCTAGAATTAACCAATCCTCAATGATGCATATAAATACATTTTCTTTATATTAATCCTAGAGACTAGTCAAATGCAAGTAAGTAGGCTTGTCTAACTAACTAGTCAAATCCAACTAGATGTATTCAAAAAGCTGGGCTTGAGTTATTTTCACTAATTCTGTGTCCAGTATTCTTGCATTTTCTAAATCGTGATTAAGATCAGTCACCCCGAGCGTAACCTAGAAGTGTGCTATGAAGTATGATAAAGTTTGATCACAACAGACTGGCTCGGAAGAAACACGGCCCCTCTCCAGGGAGCAGTTCAGTACCTTGTGGGGAGATCTCAGCTGCATTCAAGAGCCCTTTGTCCAAAAATAGCTCTCTGTGTCTATCAGCATGTCCCCAAATACTTACATGTCCCACACTATTCTGATTTGGGACAAATCCTTGGAGCTTTGTTTTCTGGAAGGAGTGAGTGTTACATTTGGGTTTGCCTAGTCCCAGCTTGAGGAGGTAGGAGGAGGAGGGTGAGAAATGGTTGGAGCCAGGGAGCAGGAAGGGGCCTTGGCAGGGGAGGGCTCCCAGGAGGCAGAGGTGAGGTGATGCCTGGGCCGGGAATAGGCACTTGGAGAACACAGCTGGTGAGAGGACGTTCTTTGTGTTTAGACGGGCAAAATGCCTGAGAAGGTCCAAGTTGTCCGCCTTCACTGAAGGAGGTTACCTGTTTCTACCTGTGTTTAGCTTTGAATAGACCACTTCTCATTTCTAAAACAGAAAAATGGGTTGACAGATATTTGACATGTTTTATTCTACAAAATATGCCTATCCTGCAAGCTCTTAATATTTAGTTCCAACAACACCACGTGGAATTAGAGAGCCGTCAGACTTGAGAATGACAGCCCCCGTGTACCCAGGGTTCAGAGCAGCACCGCACAAGGAACACACTCGTTCGTGCTTAGACCCCAGAAGGGCACAGTGAATTTGGTCTTTCCCCTTGTTAACCCCTTCTTACCCAGGAAGGCACCAGACCTTCATTTCCCCATGAGAAGATGGCCTCTGCAAGGTTTTTTTTGGTTGTCCAACTTAAATAAATTGAGGAGATAGAATCACACTGGACGCTGACATCATTCGCAAAGGTAGCCTTGCGTTTTTCAAATCAGACGCATCAAACTCTGATGGCTTTTTTCACTCTCATGCCACGAAGGATGGGGTTCATGCAGCCGGCTGTGCTCATAGCATCACTAGCACCGCATCTGACTTCCCAGAGCCCCATCCGTGGGCGCTTTGACCTGAGTCGCTTGAAGTCCAGCATGTTGTCCACCTCCCTGCATGAGGCCCCCACGGAAAGTCTTACGGCAGGCCCCCTTTTGCAGTCACACGTGATGAAGGTGGGTGGGTCTTCACTCTGCGGTGGCCGGCTGAGTCACCCCCACACACGTGAGCGGGGGTGGGGCCCAGGAGTGGCCACTCTGCTGTCGTTAGCTTCTCTTCTCAGCAGCCCTTCCAGCAGCTGTGGGGTGATGGGGGTGCCTGCCTGCGGAAAAGTGTCCTCAGCTAGTCCTTCCAGAGCCACCAAAAAGGGACCCGGGAATGTGGGAGACAGAAAAGCTTGGCTGTCAGGCAGTTCTCTCTTCTAAAGAGTGACTTTTGAGGAACACAATTCGGCTTGTGTCTGGGCGTCTCTAGTATTTTGGGGAGCCCCCCGACCACGTTCAGGAGATGGTTCATCCAGTTCCCTCACAAGGAAAGCTGTTCCTGGGTTCTCACACCTTTTCTCAAAAGGACACATCCATCAAGGAAAACATATCATTGTCCTTAGACTCTCTGGTCACCTGCACCCGGGTTGGGGCTGATGGTTCCAGTGACCGTCAGCTGATCGGCCCCAAGGCCAGGGCAGGTCCCGGAGGCGGGCTGGGAGGAGCAATTTGCTTGGAATGAGTGTGGCTCAGTGCTTCCCTTCTTTGCATGTCTTGGGGAACAATTATAAATGTGCTGCTAAGGTTGGGGTTAGAAACTAAAAATGAGGAGTGGCATGCTTTTTTCATCTAACTTTCCCTACAAATTCTGCAGGTTCTTTGGACACTTGTCTGTTAAGCAATCCTTGGTCTGATGTTGGCTCTTTCTGTGCTCACGTTTTTTTTAAAGCAAGGAGCGCGAATATCTTCTTATTACTGTTCAGTTGTAGAAGAGTGTCAACACTTTTCTGACGTCTCAGCTCATTACAGTACACCCGAGTGTGGGATGTAATTCTCTGCGTGTGTACATATGTATGGATAGATAGATTATTTCTGTACATATACACAAATCTGCAAGATTTCTTAAGACAGGTTGAAGTGTGTTACTGAACAGGATCTGGATGTTGGTGCAGTTCTGTTTTTGAGCTCTTGGCATGAGATCAGAAGATAGAATTTATTAATAAGGTGACTGGGGCGTGTTTCTCAGTTCTCAGAGCTGTGGTGTCCTCTTCTCAAAAGTGGGCATCATGTATCTCACAGGATTGTCTTTCTGATTGAAAAACAACATAGAAAACTAAGAGTACTAGATTTAAAGCTAACACTTTCTCTTTCTCTTTTAGCCTCTGAAGAGCTGCTCTGTTCAGGATGGGAAACCACGCAGGCAAACGGGAATTAAACACCGAGAAGACCAATACGGTAAGACAGGAGCTGATCCTAAAAGTGCGCATGTCGTTTTGTTATTAAACACAAATCCCCTTGGTGAGTCAGAGGCGGAGGGCATGGGCTCCTGCTGCTGCGCTCATCCCTGACAGCTGGGTGGAAGCCTGGTCCTTGTCAATAGGATTCACTGTTACTCATTTATTGAGGAAGATTGTGTGGCAGTAGGTAGGTCCTGACCTTGCAAAGCAATAAAGGAATGGAAAAAGGAACAGAGTTAGGAAGGAGAAAGAAAGGGAGGAAAAAAGAGACCCAGAGAAAGAGAAAGAGGGAAACCAGGAGGACAAGCAGACGAAGCAGGTTTCGCGCTCGGTCCGTGCTGTGTGACTGGTCCTCGAAGGCTCAGGAGGTGCTCGGAGAGGAAAGAGATCGTAAAAATCCCTTTGTTCTCACGCTAAAATACTTTTGATTTTTTAACATTTTTATTTTTTAGATATTTCCAAACTGCATTCTATCTAATTAGCTGCTGGTGTGAAAGAGCATAAACATTTATACCAGTTCGTGAACGGTGAAACACATCAGATTTTCTTTTAGCTCAAAAACCTGATCCCCTCTACTAAGGTCGCACGCCTTTCTTCTCACCCACCGTGGAGTGTGCCTCTGACTTTTCCCTCTGGGCTGGTTCTGGAAGAACTCACTCTGCATCCGAGGTCTGGAGAAAGGATGGACATACTCCGTCCCCCTGGACCGCTCCTAAATCCAGACCCTGCTTTCTCCTGCACACAGCTGCTTGGCTCCTCACCAGCGGCCCTTCTCTGGGGTCCTGCTCTGGCCTGACTGCACATTGGAATCTCCCGGGGAGTTTTCAGATCTGCCAGGGTCTTTGCCCACCTTCGATCCCGATGCAGACGTGGGCGTTTTTCAAAGCTCTCCAGGCTCCAGAGCGAAGGTTCCAGCTCCTCCCACTCCTGCGTGTCTTGTGTTTTGGCTGCCAGGATTTCCCTCTATCGGTTGGGTCATCGCCCTCCCGCCCCCAGAACTTCCAGGAAGCCCTTAGCTCAGACTGCAGTCCAAGGGTTCTCAGCCCTTCTTCACCCTCACTGTGACTGGCCCTTCCAGGGACGGCTCCTGCACAGCCCGTTCCTACCCCTTACCACAAAACATGTGGAAAATGCAGTTAATCAAACAGGAAACTGCACATTAAAAATCATTCAAATCCTTCTGGCTGCTAAGAATTCGTCTTTGTATTTCTAGCTCGGCAGTCACCATTGTCTGCCTTATTTGAAGGCACTGGCCCCTTTGGTGTGATTTGGATTGTCCGCATCGTCGCCGATTCCCCTGTAGCGTCCTGAGTCAGGGTTCTGGAGCCTTTTCCCAGTGAGATGCTCAGGACAGATGATCCAAGGATGTCGACAAGGACCACAGATGCCCAGGGGTCCTCGCCGTCTGTCTCTCTGCCCACCCTTCTCTCTAGACCAGAGAATCGTTTCCGATTATGAGGAATTAGCCTGCTATGGTGCACAAAACTGTAAACCCTCCCTAATTTGTATGCGGGGCCCTTGCTCTTGGTCCATGCTGTGTGATTGGTCCTAAAGGGATCAGGAGGTTCTCGGACGGGAAAGAGATGATAAAATTCCTTTGCTCTGATGCAAAAATACTTTTCATTTTTCAACGTTTTTTATGTTTTAAACATACATATTTTTCCCTCAAGGAAAGTTATTCCATTTCCTTGGTACTTTAATCCAACATAAAATTATGCATGCTCCAACCCGAGGGAGATGCTGGTGTACTAGAACGTCTGGTGCTGAAGATGGGCTAGCGTTAGGGTCGGGGCCACCCCCGGCTTACACCCAGCATGCTTTAGAAATGTCCACAGAATTGAACTGAACTGAATGTCAGTCTTCAGACCTCTTTACCGTGGTCCGTAGTGCATTTTTATTTAATAATAAACTTGGAAGAACTGGGACCTTCTCTGATTTGTACTTGGACTCAGCCTCTGTATCAGCCACAGGGGTAATTCTCCATGGTTTGCTTTCAAATCGTCTGTGGAAAGCGAATAGGTGACTACATACTGTTTCCATTTACATTTTATCTCAAAGTGAGAAGCAGTCATTTCTTACCTAATGATTTAGAAAGACCAATTTTATAAATATGTAAATAGTTCTAGTCAATGTTGAACAGGGGTTCACTCATTTTATTCAGCCCATACTTCAGCTATATTACTGGTAATGTCATTTTATAATTAACAATGTCATTTAACCATAAATGTATTAAGTTACTAATTTATTAAGAACATGGCTTGGATACAACATCCACACCAGGAGAACTGTTTCAGCTAAAAATGAAAAAACAGCTCTGCTCAGAGGTCTCCAGGCTGCTCACACTGATGATATTTTAAGTCTTAGAATAACTGATTTGCAACTCCAGTTTCTATAAAACTCGGTGTGGCCTTCAGTTTCTTTCCTGTTGTTTGACACTGTAAAACACCCACATGTATTTTCGATTCGTTTAATGTTGTCAGAGTCAGATTCTTGAGCCCTAGCAAAGCCCACACTTAGGACTTTGTTTTCTGAAATCTCACGTTTAAAGTTCTGATTATTTTAAAAACCTCAAAAATGGGAAATTTTTAAACTATGGTTCCCGTAAGTGGTTTAAGAAGAGCTTTTATTTTCTTTAAACCTGACGGGAAGCATTTTTGTGCCTTTCCAAGTACGTGCTCTGTGATGCCGCATGACTTAGTGGAGTGTTTAAACTTGAACCACGAAAGAAAAAGTGCTGCCTACCGCTCGCACGTTTCTGTGTGTGATTCCGGGAGGCATTTATTTTTCCCCTTAGGAGAAAGTCAAGGAAAGTTTCTGTCAGTTTCAGGGGCTGGTGACTGATCTGCCAGCAGGGAAGCCAGCAGCAGTGGGGGCTGCCCGTCCACCCTGCACACGGCCACTGCGGGGCCACCCCGTCCACCCTGCACACGGCCACTGCGGGCCGCCCCGGTTCCCGACCCAGGCTGCTCAGGGCCCCCTGCCTCCCGCCCTGCTGCCGTCTTCACCCATCCCCACCCACACCCAACGCCTCTTTCCTCTGCCGTCATAGAGCCTGCAGCCGAGTGTCTGATATAGATCGTAGTGATTTGCTTATCATCCGGCTAATTCCCCTCCAACATCCAGGAGGAAACTTCCCTCTCTTTTGCCTCCATCTCAGCCCGGAGCAGCCCCAGCACTTAACTGGCTCACAGATGTTTCAAAGAGTAAATGAATCATACCTATTTCCTAACTTCTTTTTCACATAAAAGCTGTTTCCTGAGCAGGCTCTGGGGGCTGCTGGCTGCTGGGGAGGTGGTGGCGAGGCCTGGTCGTTGCCTGCAGGAGCTTCCAATCTCCTTTGCGAGTTTTGCCCTCAGTGACTCAGGGCCTTGAAATCTGCTGCTCTCTCATCCTGAATAAGCCACATCAGGATATAAGAGGAAGAGGGACTGTCTAAAGGATTAACTGTGGAATTTCTCTGCGTTGCAGTGTTAGTCCAGTCATGTGGGACGCAGTTCCCAGGTGACCAGTGGTTGGGGCACCTTCCGGGGCCAGTTGAGGGTCAGAACGGTCAGAACAGGGAGAAGGATGCCTCAGAGGAGCGAGGAGGCTGCACTGCTGACGCTGACTCAGTGTGGATGGGGCATGACTTCCTGCAGGCGGGCGCAGGTTCCGTGCAGGGCTCTCCTCAGGAATGAAGAAACCCCTGTTCTGCCTTGTACTCCCTATGTCTTTTTAAGTCGCCCGGAAATCTGGTTTCCAAATGGCCCTGCCTCACTATTTTACCAGCTTTTTAGCGATCTGCCCATTTTGTGTTTGGTTCGCTGTCTTGCTGCAGAACTTGGCAGGACCCAAGAAGGAAAGGGTGCCAGAAGGAAAGGGTGCCAGCCGCCCTGGAGAACCCAGGGGCGTGCCTTAGCACCAGGAGGGGGGCAGGGGCAAGACCCGCCCACAGAGGGACACCCCGTGTCGGGCAGTCTTTGCCTGCCTGGCAGTCCTTGGTCCTTAGGACAGAAGACATTTGGCTTCACTGGCCACTGGAGGAACTCATTACCTGTTGGCAGTGTGAATCCAGGGGGTTGGGTGATTGCTCAGAACACTGCCCGTGTCCTTCGCCAGGCTGCTCGCAGCTTTTCCCCCTCAGCTTTCTCTGAATGCTGTAGATCTGATGACCTGTGGGCTTGCTCTTTGGGGTTTTCTGGTGATAGCTAAGCTTCCTGGAGATGATTGACTATGTGTTAAAAACACCAAACAAGGCTGGGTGCAGTGGCCCACGCCTGGAATCTCAGCACTGTGGGAGGCTGAAGCAGGTGGGTCGCTTAAGCCCAGGAGTTCGAGACTAGCCTGGACAAAAAAGTGAGACCCTATCTCTACAAAAAAAATCAAAAAATTAGCCAGGCATGGTGGTGTGTGCTTGCAGTCTCAGCTACTCAGGAGGCTGAGGTGGGAGGATCACCTGAGCCTGGAGAAGTCAAGGCTACCGTGAGTCATGATCACACCACTGCACTGCACCTTGGGAAACAAAGTGAAACCCTGTCTCAAAAACACAAACACACACACACACACACACACACACACACACACACCCGCATCTGTCAGGGCCAGCACTAACACTGCGTGGGCGCCTCTGTGAGCCAGGGACTTTGAAGATGTTGTCTGTGTTGTGTGTTGTATCAGTTCTTGGGGCTTCCACAACAAACAGCACAGACTGGGTGGCTTCAGCCACAGACACATCTTCTGCCACAGTCCGGAAGACTGGAAATCCCACGTCGAGGTGCCAAGGGCTGGCTCCCTCGGCGGCCTCTCCTTGGCTTGTACGTGGCATTCCCTCTCTGCATCCTCCAGTGGACGTCCCTCTGTGTGTGTCTGTGTCCTAATCTCTACTTAGAAGGACACCCTCACGTTGGATCAGGGCCACCCTACTCCAGCGGGACCTCATCTTCCTGTCATGACCTTTTCAAAGGCAGCATCTCCAAATGCAGTCACGTGGCGAGCCAGTGAGGGCGGGGACATCAGCGT